GATGTAGACAGCTTGGTGCCGGGGCACTTCAGCCTCTTTCAGAGCAAGGAAAAACCCCCTCAGCTGATTCACCCCTTCATGTGGGCCCATGCGGATTCAGCGCTTCTGTGATTTACCACAATGAGCCCAAAATGCAAACGATGCCACAGAATATGTGTGCGAATGTAAGGCCCACAATCCGAGTAACCAGACTGTCTAGATCTTTTCCCTGTAAAAACTTTACATTTAAATATATATTTAATTCTCGGCTTCATGTTTGTTCAGCCTATTATCAAGCCTCCAATATCTTCATCAATGTATTGCAAAAAGGAAACTTTCTTGTGTGTTTCTATATATTGGTGTGCTTTTGTTATGTATATTATTCCTCAGTGATGTCTGTATTGTACCTGTGTCAGCTTTCAGCCTTGCGCTACTTAAATTTGTAGAAACCACCGTATTTATCATACCTTGCATTTGCCCCTCTCTGTTGTGCATCTTGTGCCTTGTGATTATTCTCTGAAATTGTTAATTGTCTATTCTAACAGTGGCATGGTGTGTCAACAAAAAAATCCACCACCCTAAGTCATGTTGCAATAAAGATTCTGATTTAGAATGAGTCCCTTTCCTAATCCATAGATGCCTGACCAGCAAGAGAGAACATTTATCATTTAGGAACTAAATGGAAATAGCCAGAGTTTAGCAGGAAGCATTGGTGCTTATTGTTTCAACCAGATCATTCTTTTATGACTTCAGCTGGGGTCCTTCTGGTCTTGGTAGTGAGGGAACATAATGGAGAAAGTGTATTTAAGATGATTGACGGCTTTTTTTAATCCACGAAACCCATCTTTTCAAATGAGCTTTTGTTTTCAGTGCACACAGTACAGAGGATCTGGGGCTGGATGTTCAGGTCTGAAGGCGGGTATCGTTGTTCCCTCTTTGTTCCGACCAAGCCCATAAAAACCACCAACTCCCGTTCACCAGACCCCACACCCCCCTACCCAGCCCCCTCGCTCCATTCCACACCTTAAGTGTGCATATTATCTGAGCTGGGCCACATCTTGGAGGAACAGTGGTGGGCTGGTCACAAGTGTTGAAAATGCTAATGGGGCAGCGGCAGGGTCGGCTCCGTTGGTCTGGCACACGGCAGAGGAGGCGGGGGGTGGGGGGGTGGGATAGCACAGGACAACAGGTCAACCCCCACTCTTCAAAGGTGCAGCAGGGGACAGGGCTTGGAGATGGGAGCAGGAGGTATGCGGCCTACCGGCTTTTGTTCTTGAGCTTGGCATTGTGGGCCGTGACTCAGTCAAGAGCGAGGACTTCACACCTCTGGTGGGGGTGGGGGTGTGGGTGGGGGTGGGGGGGGGGCGTCTCCCAGCATGCGTCCTGAATGTCTGTATGGTTAATACTGGTCATTGTTCCGGGATTCACCCCATGGTGTCACAGAAAGACCTCTGTTTATTTTTTGTCCTCCTACTGTCTAATTTATGTTTTGTTTTTTTTCAAAGTATGTTTAAAACAGCCAGAGGGCAACATTGCATTTTTCACATGACTGTAGGTGATAGGAATTTGAGTTTTTTTGCTTGTGACCACAGCCGGACCCTCAAAGCACAATTATTTGCCCAGGCACTCCGAGATCTGGCATACGGGTGTAATACCCTTGTCAGCCACAAATAGTTCATTAAATGTGAACAATGTACGCTTGAAGCTGTAATGCATCATTTCTGTATTTTCCCAGATTATGTAGGCTACAGTAGTCGAAACAAATCCAGCACTAGGTTCTGATTTTGGCCCCGTCACGGCCGTCATATTGACCCTATGATGTTTCTGTTCACCCTCTCCGTTTGGGCCAAACATGATTTAAAATGTTATTTTTAAAATTTTCAGTGTTCATGGCTGTGGTATGATTTTTAACTTTTAAAGACACTAGTGATATCAGTGAATCAATAGTTTAATCAATTTTGTTTAATAAAAGACATAAATCATGAATATTTTGTTATTCCAGGTGGTATAAAAAAAAAAACCCAAAAGAATCCAGTTTATCAATATAGCGGAAAACTGGGATATGCAGGAAAGACAAAAGAAATAAAAAAGGAGTTACCTTGGGCTCACAGTGGAAAATGTATTTGGATATTTTGTTAGATAACTGTTCTGGGTTCAGTTCTGAGTTGGTAAAGCTCACACACGCCATCTGGGAAGTTAAACTCAGACTTTGAGGGTTGCATATTCGGTGTCGGGGTGGACGTGGTCTCTGCCCTTCTCCTGCCGGCCATCCACTCTGACACAAACATCAGCGTACACCACGGTCCCAGTTTCCACCTAAAGGGAAGCAAATGCAGCGTGACTGTAGGGACCATCACAGACATGAGTAAAATATCAGACTGTAGCAGAAAATGGGTTTGCTCACTTTGTCCTGAGAGGAAGGGGTGCTGTGATCCTCTGAAAAATGGAGAAATGCTATTATTCATCCATCAAGCATGGCTACATGTCATCGTGACCATAAAGCCGGTGAGGTTTTGTAATTAAACTATAGCTTCATCAATATTAATATTATTTTAGTTGGACTTCTTTTGTGTCACCTGTTCTTGTCACATCTCCCCTCTTCTCCTTTCTTTTATAAGTTATTATAATTATTGTGATGCAGACTCCTACACACAGGACTGCGCACAGAGTAACTACAGCAATCAGAGTGAAGTCTGTCGGATCTGGAAAAGAAAATTAGACAGATTGAGCAAGGACCTGCGGTCGCAAATGATCACATGATGATGACTGACCAATCGGATTTCAAGATTCTTCATTGTCATCTCACCACGTAGGGATACATGAGCACAAACATTTGTGTACCATGCCCCACATGGTCTATGGAATGTTGTTTCTCCAGGACCACTATGCAAATTGTGATGAGGTATCAAACAGACAATCCAGTCAAAAATAGACAATATTTCAATAAACAAAATATACATCTAACACACAAACAATAAATTATTTAAAATAAATAAACAATATACATACATACAGTGGTTAGCACTGTCACCTCACGCCTCTGGAACCTGGGATTGAGTCTCTGCTGAGATTCCATGTGTGTGCAGTTTGCACGTTTTCCCTGTGTTGTCATGGGGTATGGATGGATGGACATATGTACACAAGCTACATGTATGTACAAACTGCAGCCATAGAGATTATACATAGTATATTAATATACACACATTTCTAGGGCATATATAGTTCACTACTATTCATGTAAACCAATTCAAAATGTGAATGGTAAAAACTGGTGGTGACCAGTCACACTGCCTTAAACTCTCGATACTCTCTCTGTACTTATCTGTCTCCACCAGGATGAAATACTGACAATTTATATTTATCACGTAATTATGTAGGTGCCATAGAATGAAAATCTGACTTAACCTCGGCATAGCTGAATAAAGAGTTTAGTACATGGAACTAGGGTGACCACCTAATCCATGTCAGGAGGGACACTATGAGCTACTTCAGCTTTTACGAACTACTATTAAAGCTGAAAGGGTTCTGTGCTCTGCTAAAATGTTTGGTTAGTTCCTAGATTGAAAGACTCATCCAGCTGTTTCGCATTAACATTACTGACACATATGCATGATTATAGGAGACTGACCAGTCAGCATACGGCAAGAGCCCAGTGCTTAAGTGAAATCCTGGTCCTTTTAATTGAAATGTATGAAATGGTAGTTTACAAATCCTGTTGTAGCTCATAGTGTCCCTCCTGACATGGATTAGGTGGTCACCCTACATGGAACTCACATACTGTGAGTCTCAAACACTGTTGTTCCCTCTTTCTAGTGTAAATCCTACATGTTTACCCCCTTATGCAAATTAATTAAAGCTGTCATGCAGACATGCATGCAGTGGCCTGGGACCTGCTAGTCTGCACAGCTAACAGGGCAGAGAGCATGCTGAGTGGATGGACAGAGGAGGCACTGTGCCCACAGACTGGCAGGCCTGCTCAGGTGGGGTTTAGAGCTGAGTGGATGGACAGTTTGTGCGTTCGTTATTAAGAACTATTGTATTAAAATTTTAATATAATAGGTTTTATAGAACAGTTAGTTCCGACCAAGAAATCTAATTGGACAAGAAGCTTTCTATGAGTGTGGTTATCAGAGTATGACATCACTCGGGCATTTCACATTAACTGTATCACTCCGCTTTACAGGTGCATCTAAAAACCGTTACATGTGCCTCATTTCCACCAACACGGAGCTAGTGCTGAGCTGGTTCTCGCTCGTTGCCTTTTGAGAACCTGCATGCGTTTCCACCGGAAGTTAGAGTAAAGGTTCATATGTATTCTGTTTTGTTGGTTTTATTTTGATCTGTTTTGGATTTTAAGTTTTTATAAGCTGCTGACCACAAAATAAGTATAAGAGAAGAGTATAACTCGGTGCGCCCTGTCTCTATTGCCTCTATCCGCTTTTGTCTCCTTAAATTCTCCCCGTCTGTGTGTAAGTGAGTTTATTGTTCTTTCACTTGTTGTTTTACCGCTGCCGTTTCAGCGCTAATAACCGAACTTTGCTGTCCGCCTCATGATCTCTTCGCCACTCGAGCGCCACAGTATTTTATTTATTAGACCTGCGGCATGGCTTTTATTTACAATGCAAAGTTATTCTGCTTATAAGCTATAGTTGATTCACTACACGCATCAAGTGTATAGAAACATAGTTATTAAAAAATATTTGGCTCATGCTGTAGAGATGTGGGTTCTGTGTGAGCTATCACAGTGGCTCACTGTAAAGCAGCCAATCAGAGCAGAGATCATCAACGTATTAATAAGCCCAACAAAAAAAGTGAAAATGGCCTGTTTCATTCTTGGGCCAAGTAACTGTTTTAATTGGCCTGTAAAACAGATTCATTTAGATTTTCGACTGAACCAAGTTAATATACCTTCTACGTAGACACCAGAGAACTATTTAAAATACTTGAATAATGCATTCTATGGCACCTTTAAACTTGCCGTATGTTGGCAAAATCCAAGCATATTTTGGTGCATGGTGCAGGCGGGGGAAAAAGGTGACGATCCACTTAAAAGCTCCAAGAAAAAGGGATTCAATGGGGAAACTGAACAATCTGGGTAAAACTAGAAAACAAAAGGACCGTGAGGGGTCAGAAAAACAACAGGAAAAAAAAGGAATTAGCTAAAAACCATAGAATAAACACACCTACGGAATTAAGCAGAACATAGGGAACAGGACTGAGCAAAAGAGCAGGGCGTCAAACACACAGTAACATTCACAATGAAGCAGCAAGGAACAGAAGGAGGGCAAGTACTTAATTACAACAGACAAGCGAGATAAGGAAGAGGCAGATGTGACACATAAGACAATTAAGGGAGGGCAGGGAAAACAGGCAACAGGTGCAGTAACTTATACTAACACACAATTCCCACACACTGGGAATTACTACATTAGGATAAGTAAGGAGCACAGACTGATTATAGAATGTTTTTGCACCCAAAACACGACGAACCACCTCAGAGACCTATAGGCAGCCAGTGATTCCTCAGCACCACCTTAGTCTGAATGAAATAGTGTGAGTTATATTCTGGTGGCTGGAGTGCAAGTCCTGCCACCACCCCCAAAATTTGTGAGTTGGAGGACCTCTTTGCAGGGCAGGATGACCCCTGGCCAGCCTCAAACCCATGCCCAGAGCATTAATGGTTTTTGAGCTACCTGATCAACCCAGTGAGCTATGGGGCGGTTCAGGGGGCAAAAGAAACACGCTCGGGCTAAGGGACAAGATGGAAGAGGGAACAGGATGGCCAGCCACCTGCGGGTCAAAATGGAGCACGTAGGACAGGGGTGGATGGACACCAGTCCTGACACACATATGTGGCATTGCAGATGCAGTACTATTACTCTTACTATGAAGGGCAGGTCTGCTACTTTGAATGTGAGTCCGTAACCATTGTTTGATACTATATGAATATAGTTTTTCTTTTCTGGCACCATTCTAAGTGAGACAGGAGAAGAGGAGTCCCTACCAGAGAGAGTGGTTATGTAGCTGGCTGAGCTCTCCAGTCTCCCATCCACAGTCAGCTGACACGTCCACTTCCTGTTGTGGTCTGACTGATCCAGAGTCACAGTCAGAGTTGAATGACATCTGGTCTGTGTGATATTGTACCTGGTATCTTGCATTAGGTCACTGCCATCATCATTCAGCCAAGTTAGTTTCATGTCTTCATTTATATGTTTAGTACAGAACTCATATGTGTGCAGGCAGCAGTTCAATGTCTCAGGTTTTAGCTGTGAGGAAGTGACTGGGGAAGAAAGAGAAAGAAGATTAGTTTTAGGGAACCATGTATTGTCTGCTCTTTATGTATGGAATGAAGACATGACCCTTTTAGTAGGAAAAGCATGTCGCGGATGATGAGTCATTCCAGTAGATGTACAGCACTGGCCATCTATAAATAGCAGGTCTATGGTGAAATCTGTAGCACTAATGATGCAATACTTTTGTTTTTGGCAAAAAAATTTTGTTGCTAGCATTATTTATTTATTTTTTTTAAAGAAATTATGACCAAGTAATTTTTAATGTCTATGTCTACGTAAGACTCTTCTGCCTAAGATGCCTTAAAAACTTAAAACAGAATAACTTCTTCAGCATTTGTTTCCAAATGTCATTCTTTTAAGTATTTAAAATATTGCTGTGACCCAAATCCTTGCATTCCTTGGGATTCACAGAAATACTTACTGTTCAGAACAGTGAGATAAACGAACGAGTCGTTGTATGCTGATTGACTGCTATACACCCGGCAGTTATATTGCCCAGCGTCTGCAGGTTTTACATTAAGAATCGTTAGAGAGCAATTTGACTCCACTTTCAGGCGGTTGGTTCTGCTGTCAGCCAGGTTATTTCTGACCATCCCATGTGCAACTATTTCAATGGTTTTGTCACTTCCATAGTTCCAGGTGGTGTTGGAGCAGTTAGTGGACGTCCTGTGACATGGCAGAGTGACCGTCTGTCCCTCGCTGGAGAACACGGTGGGTTCCGAGAGATTTCCTTTAAAGAATACCAGTTATATACATTAAGAACATTAAATTACTGTTGATTCCTAACAATACATGTGATCCAAAACCACTGTTCATTAACACCATAACAGAATTAATAGTTTGTTACTCCAAAATATTTTTCTGAATTCTATTCATCACTACAAATAGTCTATAGAGAGAAATATTCTGTAGACTTACTCAAACCTGATCAGAATTTACTTTTACTCCAGATGCATTAAACATTTAAATGTATATAAAAGGAAAGTAACATCTGTTTATTCTATGGATTTCTGCCACCATGCATGTGTGTCTTATGATGCACACCCACAATGCTGAGCACTGAGTACAGCCTGCATGTGTCAAAATGTACAAACAGTGCGTAGTCCAGGTAATATGGGAGTGAAAGAGAGAGAGATTGAGGAGAGGGAGGGAGGGAGGGAGAGAGAGAGCGTAAACATTAGGAGTCCCATTTCCCATCCTCCTTACCTTTACCCATTCTGAGAAGAGCCACCAGTACAATGCTGGTCCATACGCTGGCTGCCATTGTCTGGCTCTCAGCTGTGTCATTTAATGTGTGTAGGGTTCATGGTGTATTTCATGTAGAAATTAGGGAACTTGCTCTCAAACTGAGGCACGGAGCCCCCGAGGGGGATGGGAAGCTCCGCATTATTTTGTAACACAGGAAATGACAAAACATCTTAAAGATGAGATGAAGAGCCAAAGCCAAAACTTTCCAGTTAATTTGTGTGCTAATCACATAGCTAATAGATTTATTGTGTTTTACACCATCGGAATAAGACTATTCACATGATGATAACACTTAGGTCTACACAAAGATCAGTCTGCGGTCCCAGAGTGGCGTGGGGCTAATTTATGTGAGATAATTAGTGCTGTTATTTCATATTGTGGATGTACATAGTTGAATAGGATACTTTAAAAATGCTGTTTGGGACTACAGTGAATAAAGTAAGATGAGACTGCATCTCTGTTATTTCAGCAAATTATTCTGTATTCTTTTCATGTACACAGAGCACATACATGGAAAAATAATTAGAGATGAGGTCAGAACCTGTCACTCTGACGGATTCCTGACTTTGGATGACAGAAAAATCTGAGAGGGAAGGACAAAACACTATATATATATATATATATATATATATATATATATATGTTTGTACTATATAGTAGTTATATGTAATGGCGTTATGTAATTAAATTACAAAATAAATAGAATTATAATCTGCTAGTTACTGAGAAAAAAATATGCTACTAAATATCAAAATGTTGGTAGGCCTAATTACAAAGACAGGGTTTCCAACTTTTTGCACACGTACCTACATGTACCGAACAGTTTTATAACCTTGTAAATAGTCTGTTGGGTTTGCAACCCCCCCCTTCCAATGCTTATGATGTAGCTAGTTTTAGGTTAATAATGGAACTTAACATTCATTTGCTGTTTTACATCTTTTCACTGTGCAGAAATGCCTTCTTTTGGCATATTTCCAGACAACATGGGTCAGCAAAGCCGTGGTGATATTTCAGCTTTACTGCCCAGTGTAAAACATTTGTTAAAATAGTAATAAAAAAATAATCAAATATAATAAGCTATATAACTTAGATGAAGCAATTAAAATAGTTACATTACTTATTAATAATCTTACTTGTTATTTTTAGCAGGGTAACTAGTAACCTTCCCAACACTGGTTGTCTGCACCAGTAACCAGGCTAGATGTTATTTAAAGGATACGTGAGAAAATTGGAGACACAAATTTCAAAACAAATAAAAATGTTGATGGTTGGATCTATTACCGTACCTGATTGCACAACTGAGGACTGGGCAATTTACATTTAAAAAGAGGAACTTAACTGCTACATCGTGGGAAAATGACTAGAAAGTGGCTGTTTTACTGAGTGCAATGGACACGAAGATGCATGGTTTACTCTGAAGTTTAATAACCTCACACAAACCAGCAGACAAAAAGTTTTAATGAAATCGTTGATATGTTATAAGAGCAGGTTTGCCCAAAAGCTCATAGTAGATACACCACCGGGAGACAAACAGTCAAAAGAATAAGCAGGTCTGTAATTTCCATGAGCCTGAAACCCTGATGACCTCATCTGGTCCAGACATGTAGAGACTCAGATCTAAAGCCAGACATTGGCTGTACCATCTCAGGCAGCTGAGGAGGTTCAAGGTCTCTCCAGCCATTCTTGGGTGATCCTACTTGGGAGCATTGAAGAGCATCCTCATCACAAGGATCACAACCTGGTTTGGTAACTGCTCTGCTCTGGACTGCAAAGCTCTGCAGAGCGTGGTACATTCAGCAGAATGCATCAGCAAGACTGATCTGCCTTTCCTGTGGGACATGTACCTCAGAGGATGCAGGAGCAGAGCTGCCAAAACCTGCAGGGACGCAACCCACCCAAACTGCTACCTCTTTACCAGGCTGAGGTCTGGAAAGGACTTCTGCTGTATCTCAGCCTGAACCGAAGGAGGAGCTTCTAACCTCAGCCATCAGGTTGCAAAATACAGGACGTTTATGTAAACCATATACATATCTTAACTGAAATGCACCAGTCCCTAAATACACAGTTATTTGTCTTTCTTGACAAACTGCAATGGCAGAGCAAAATGTTCTTAGTCTTGCTTGGACTCTGTGAGTGGCAGGTTGATGCCAACATTATTGCCAGAGTAGCTGTACTATTTTATTAATCATTCTCTGAAGAGACACAGTACCGAATATATAACTGGTATTCTCTAAAGGATATACCCGGAACCCACCGTGTTCTCCAGTGAGGGACAGACGGTCACTCTGCCATGTCACAGGACGTCCACTAACTGCTCCAACACCACCTGGAACTACATACAGTAAGTGACAGTGGAGTCAAATTGCTCTCTAATGATTGTTAATGTAAAATTTTCAGATGCTGGGCAATATAACTGCCGGGTGTATAACAGTCCATCGACATACGACAACTGGTTAGTTTTTCTCACTGTTCTGGGCAGTAAGTATTTCTATACATCCCAAGGAATATAGAATAGAATAGAATAGAATAGAATAGAATTTTTTGTCTCCATTGCACATTCCTTGCACAATGAAATTTCCAGGGCAGTCCCTTGGATATACACATACCTAGTGTATTTTGTTTGTTTGTTTGTTTGTTTTGTTTAATAGAAATCAATCCATAAGAAATCAGTCAATCGAGACAGTTTCTTAGAGCCTCCCTAAAGGTCTCGGAGGAGGCTTTCTAGGGAGCTCGTGTCCTTTTCAGGCGAGTCGAGCTCCCCTTAGAGGAAACCCTTATTATTATTATACGCTAGATAATTAAGTGGTAAATAACTTAAGGTTAGTATGTTCAAATGTTTTAAATACACTACAAAGTCATTACAATCGCTCTTTTGTTTTGAAGACATTACCAAATTGCCTTTGATATTACTGAGGACATTTTTTTATTTGGTGTTTTGGTGCACAGAAAAACAATTGCATTTCTATTTTCCTTTTTGCCATTTTGGCTAGTTGGCAAAACACAAACAGCATGTAGGTTATTTACCCTTTGTCCTGTGTTAGTTTCCTATTCATATCTCTTATGTTAGACAGGTCGGTGCAGACCCGTGTATTAAATCAGCCATAAAATATGCTCAAAACAATAATTTATCATCCAATTTGTTTCTTACCTCTTGGTTACCTTGTTGGGCTTCCTTATCCATGAAAAGATTGGTTTTAATATTTTTGGTGTGGCTTTCTGGACCTTTCTTTAGACAGCATACCTCTTGTTTTCAATAAAAAATAATAATGGTAAAGTAAACCTCAAGAGAATTATATAAATAAACTTAACTGGTATAATCTTGCCTTACATGTCTGGGCATGCCTTGCCTAGTAATTTTTTATTTATTTATTTGTTGTATTTAAATTGAGGTTCCTGATGCAGTACACAAATTTATGTGGTGCTTTTATGCATTTTAAACTTAAAAAGGGGTCGGTACCGACCCCAACACCACATCTGTTAGCTAATAAACTTAAAGGGTCACCCACGAGGTAACAGAGCAAACAAGATGCAGTCTGGTTAGAAATGTAATTGTGTGTTATTTTACTGAGTGACAGAAGTAAAGCAACATGTTTGACACATCCAACGTTTTAAGTGCATTTTCAGAGCAGCTACTTACTGGTGGTCATTCCCCATTGAGCCACTGACTCTCAGGCTAATGTGTGTGGTACTGCCAATGACTTATAATTACTAGACCTGCTATCACGTGATTGCAAGTGCAAGTTCCCTAATTTTGACATAAAACACACTGTCACACCCGACACACTCTAAATAACCGGGCTGTACGCCAGACAATGGCAGCCAGCATATGGACCAATATTGTACTGTGGGCTCTTCTCGGGATGTGTAAAGGTAAGGAGGACGCGACATGGGACTGTTAATGTTCATGCTCTCTCTCTCTCTCTCTCTCTCTCTCTCCTCTTTCTCTCTCTCTCTCGCTCATATTACCTGGGCTACACACTGTTTGTACATTTTGACACATGCAGGCTGTACTCAGTGCTCAGCATTGTGGGTGTGCATCATAAGACACACATGCATGGTGCCAGAAATCCACTACTGCCTCTGCATAGAATAAACAGATGTTACTTTGTCTTTTTATACATGTTTAAATGTTTAACGTGTCTGGAGTAAAAGCAAATTCTGACATGTATTGTTAGGAATCAACAGTAATTTAATGTTCTTAATGTATCTGACTGGTATTCTTTAAAGGAAATCTTCCCACCGTGTTCTCCAGCGAGGGACAGAAGGTCACTCTGCCATGTCACAGGACGTCCACTAACTGCTCCACCACCGTCTGGAACTACGGAAGTGACAAAACCATTGAAATAGTTGCACATGGGATGGTCAGACATAACCTGGCTGACAGCAGAACCAACCGCCTGAAAGTGGAGTCAAATTGCTCTCTAACGATTCTTAATGTAAAACCTGCAGACGCTGGGCAATATAACTGCCGGGTGTATAACAGTCAATTAGCATACAACGACTCGTTCGTTTTTCTCACTGTTCTGAACAGTAAGTATTTCTGTGAATCCCAAGCAATGCAAGGGTTTGGGTCACAGCAATATTTTAAATACTTAAAAGAAAGACCTTTGGAAACAAATGCTGAAAAAGTTAATTCCGTTTTAAGTTTTTAAGGCATCTTAAGCAGAAGAGTCTTACGTAGACATAGACATTAAAAATTACTTGGTCATAATTTCTCCAAAAAAAAAGAAAAAAATTCAAGCAACAAAAATAATTTTCTTAAAAACAAAAATATTGCATCATTAGTGCTACAAATTTCACCACAGTCCTGCTATTTATAGTTGGCCAGTGCTGTACATGTACTGGAATGATTCTCAGCACTTATCAATATAAATGCAGCAAATCTCATCATTGAACCTGGACGTTGGTCCAAATTACATTCACTGTCTCACACTAGCTGTCTAAAACTCATCATCTGTGACGTGCTTTTCCTACTAAAAGGATCATGCATTTGTTCCATAGATAAACAGCAGATAATACATGGTTCCCTAAAACTAATCTTCTTTCTCTTTCTTCCCCAGTCACTTCCTCACAGCTAAAACCTGAGACATTGACCTGCTCCCTGCAGTTCTGTACTAAACATATAAATAAAGACATGAAACTGACTTGGCTGAATGATGATGGCAGTGACCTAATGCAAGATACCAGGTACAACATCATACAGACCAGATGTCATTCAACTCTGACTGTGACTCTGAATCAGTCAGACCACAACAGGAAGTGGACGTGTCAGCTGACTGTGGATGGGAGACTGGAGAGCTCAGCCAGCTACATAACCACTCTCTCTGGTAGGGACTCGTCTCCTCCTATTTACACACATGCTGGACAGCACCAGCATTCCCCAATTCTATTACATTATATATTAATACTCTAAGGTGTAGCCCATTCTCCTGGGTATTTGGCTGTGTGTGGCTTAGCACTTTAGGATGCTGTGCCAATGACCAGAAGGTTGCTGGGTCAAATTGCCAGTCAACTCATACTTACGAACGGACTGCCATCAGGCCTCTTATATTAAAAAATTTGATTAATTACAATGGTTTGTAATAATGAACTTCGCACTACTTTGTGACGCCCATGAAATCATTGCACAGCTTTAGCGGTTCATCAGTACAATGCTGTATATTGTTATTTTTATCATCACTGTATATTTATTTTTTATCGTGCTGTATTATTATTTTTCGACTTACCTGCAAATTCAGCTCAAAGTCAGACTTAGGGAACGGAACTCGTTCATAACCTGGAGACTGTCTGCACATCCAAATCCTTTTTACCAAAAAGATTAGTGTTTTATTTTCAACATGTCCCAATTCATAGATAAACATAAAAGAAATCACCACTAGAAAATACATGTAATGTTGTTCAGTTGGTAGTTTTATGCAGGATCTGTCTGTGTTGTGCTGAAGGGCACCGATAGCTTTAGCGCTGTCTCTGTGGTGCCCGTGCCAAAGTGACGTCAGTTTATTTTCACTAAGGTTACTCTCTAACTCAGCCACAGATGGTCTAAATCTTTAACCCAAACATTAAAAAATAATACAAATTATCATAAATGACCTTAAATCTACAGTGTGACTTATGTCAGTAGAAATAATTATTTTCTTAAATGGATAAACATATATTAAAAATTCACATATCTGCTACTCTTAAAATGTGTATGTATTAACATAGTTAGGAGGTCAAGGAGCACCTCTGTCTGCCATCCCATCGTCAGCTCGGAGTCTAACCTGACTCTCCCTCTGTCCCCATGTGACTGGAGGAAGCGTCACAGCCATACAGCTGCCAATCCGACTGGCTGTTTTTTTCTTTATTCTGGCTCTGCCTCTGATCATTGGAGCTGTAATTTACACCAGGAAGAGGATCCGGCCAATCAGAGGTCTGTGTGATGGACATCCCTCTGTAGACTGTACACTAAAATGTGTCTAATACAGTTTATCAGTCACATACATTAGCAGAGCAGTTACATCAGTACTAAGCCAGTAACCTACATGGTTATGGCAGAGGTCACTTGTCAGATGGTACCTATGATGGGACGCCCTGGTTTACCTAGTCCCCTGTTTACCTGGTTACCTGTTTCCTCTCCTGCAGACCAAGTGTCCTCAGGGACTGAACTTCATGAGTATGTCAATACAAATAACAAGCCCTGATTCATCAGCACTCCATCAGTGTGAGACCATCGAGCACCTGCCGAGCGAAGCTTGTGATTGGTGGACACAGAGATGGTGGACAGCCTTCCACAGCCTCACCTCTTCAGGTCCATCACTCACAACTGCAGCTCGAAAGCCCAATAATATGGATTTTTTTATTATGTATTAAACAAAGCAAATTTATATGTTTTAAATTCCTTTCCTGCTTGTTCTTTTTAAACAGTATTCTCAGGACACGTGATTAGCTACAATCAAAATTATGACATACTAAGTCGTAATTACGAGATACTAAATTGAAATTATGAGATGAACTAGACCAATCACATTGCTTCATATACACAGTTCGCACCTCATACTCGATATTCAGTTATCTGGCTGTAAAATCTCTTTAACAAAAGGAAGCCAGGTGGTTGCCTTTGATGTCCAGCACACAGGCAGTCATGCACAACGATCATCCTTGCGGTTTGAGCCCTTTTCCCTATCTGTGCTTAATCTTGTTAGCAGCTACGAAAATAGGAGATTTCAGCTGTATTGAGATCCAGCATTTTGAGTTGATGGTTACTTTTGCAAACCCTTTGATTTTCCAGATTCCTGTACAGGGGAATTTTAATTAGTATTTGAATGTCCGCATGTTCTCTTCATGCCTATTTGTAGTCATTGGTGCCCTAAGTGTCCATTCATAGCAAAAATTGTAGAATAAATGGTCTATACATGTATGTCTGTACATATTTATTAAAGAATTACACTGTATTAATGTGTGATGGAGTCAATCAATCAATGAAGGGTCTAATAACTCTAAAACTAAATAAGATGGACAGATCTAGTAAAGTGGGCTTTGTTGACTATGCACACACCTTGATTTTCAGATTATGTAATTCCATTCGATATTCAGTTTACCGGCTGTAGTATCTTTTTAACTGAAGCCAGCGAACCAGATTTTTGATTCAGTACACAGCAAGCCATGTACACCGATCATTCTTTCAGTTACATTACATTAAAAGTAAGTGGTTAAAAATGCCTGGCTTGCTTCCGTTAAAACGATATTACTGTTTTCCTGAAACTGAATATAGAATATGAGGTGTGAGCTGTGTATATGAAGCAGGGGCATAGCTAGGTTTCATATATTAATATTGTGGGGGACGGGTATATCGGGGTCACACATGACACGTCACGTCACATTATAAAGCAATTCTGTAGTCTCGATGTATTGGAAAATTCCACATTCATAAGAAAAACTTTTAAGATCTAAAGCCAACTTTTTTCCATTTTTTAAATTAAATTAAGCAGTACGACACAACTGTGGTTAAGTGCAAAAACAAAAAAGCTTTCAAAATTGTGGAAGTATTTAGTTTTCTTGGATAAATTTCTCTCTCTCTCTCTCTCTCTCCCCTCTATTCTTTGTCTTTGTTACTGTTCACTTTGCCACTGTTCATCTTCACTAATATGGTAGTTGAAGTTTGTTAATGTCCCGCTTCATCTATGGTGAATTTGAGGGAATTATTAAAATTATGCACAAATCGCTAGATTCCACCATGAATGTCAGGCCATGCATTGTGGGAAAATGACCTCACTCAGGGCCCACCCCAGCCAGCACATCCATGTGGGCCCCACCTGGGAAACCCAAGCGGGGCCCAATCAATTTTGTCCGCGGTTTCCATGGTGGCCCCACATGGGTGGATTTTTTTTGTACGGCAGAATCTGGCTTGTCAGACGTTCCAGAGTTTTATGCAGTTTTCACATGCAACACTAGAGGGACACATTATGTCTAATTTAAAAGAAGCCTTCAGAAATCACATTCAGATGCCTTTGTATCTGCTTTTTAAGCAATCCCATGGCTTCTTACCCTTTGTTTTTCTTACCCTTATTGTTTTGGGGTGAGTATGCCTGGTGTTTGAAAACTGGGTAATTTCCTATAGTGACAAATAGCTGTATTAGCTCCTGTTCTGTGGGAGAGACAGACTGTTCTAGAAGCCTTGCCATAAACGAAGGTTGTACCCAGAATTTTCAAATAATCCATGTAGCTCCTTAAAGAACATATCAGCTTGAGGAACCAAAGAAGACTTCATAGAATTTTTACTGAAGCTGTACTCCGGAGATCTATCTTTTATGGAGACAGTGGTCTGGGAACAATATGGGCGTCTCCTTTACCAATATACCTGTAGCTACCAGACAAACATGAAGCCTTATTTACAAAGCAGTTTGTTTTCCTTTGTGAGTGTGGGATACAGCTGCTTCAATGCTGAACTGTGTGTTACCCACTCATCGTATGGGCACAACCTCAAACACTAGTCTTGTTTTTGTCCTGCAGCACATAAAACTTTAATCTGAAAATTATTTCTGTCCCACAGGGCTGTTGAAGATATCAGGTAATCTCAGACACGGAGTACATTACAAAGGGAGTAGAAATATTTAAGCTCTTAATGAAATTTATTATAATGAAGGAAAACTGCCATATTATAAAAAGTTAAAATTGTATCAATTAAATCCAGCACTACAAACAGACAGACTGGTGTTTTGATTTAATCTTATACGATTACTATAATGGTTCTCTAAAATAAGTTTCTATTGACTTGCATAATAAATTGCATTGTTACAATAAGATGATCATGGAAATGGAAGAAAAAAAACTTTTTATAACATTATGAAAAGCAGTGACATATAGAGCAAATTTACACTACATTTACCCCATTCCTGCAGAATTATGTTTACACATTTGTATAGATATAGTATAACATTATCCTTTAGAAAACAAATAAATGATTAAATTCACTCTTGGACAAACCTGGAAATGGAAAAAAACAAGAGTTTATGGTCCAATAAGCTACATTAAAAAGAACTATAGATAAACTCTGTAATGAAAGTGGTTTGTGTGGTATGCATTGCAGTGTCATTCCCTCTACATTTGTGCCTTTTGTCCTGCACAATCCCCCATCCTTTTCTTTCCCTCCGACTAATTTAATGAATATTTATTTGACGTATGTGAGTGTTTTAGTGAAACATACTACCGGAACCTCTTTGGAATAAATTGCACATGCTGAGGCATGGTTTCACTGCACCGTCCTGATGGTGTCGTAGTCACAGCGGACGTTGGGCGCTTTCCATTCCTTCCCACTGGGCGTGATGCTGACCACCGAGTACGTCACAGCGTCGGCTGCAGCATCCGCACTTTGCACCTACAGACGAGTCGCGCGGCTCCGTAAGAACCAGTCAGTTTACTGGGTTCAAAGGAAGATATTCACAGAAAATCACAGCACTCACATTATCTTGGTTGGAGGTGGAACGTCTTGCTGAAATATCAAAGGGAAAATGGGGGAAAATATCGATTCAAAGTGCAAAGATGGTAATATTTCAGCAGTATGAGGCTGGGAATTTGGCTGCTTCAGTGAGGTTTAGGCTGTCTTACCTCTTGTCCTGTAGATCAGTATCACAGCTACAGTCACACATAGAGCTACAACCAAAGAAACACAGACGGCTGCAGCCACCACTGCCTCCTGGAAACCTGAATTAAAACAGTGAGAGAGTCTGTTGGGGGGCAGCATGGTGCCTTACTGGAGAGAACTTCAGTCATACACCCCCAGTCACCCTTAGCATCCGCTTCCTGGAACTGGGTCCAGCCCCCTGCCCCCACAACCCTGGAAGATGGATGTTAGAGACAGGGTCCCATACTGAGAAACGTCTTCACAACATATCACACGCTGGCGAGTATTTCTGTGTCAGTGATCAACTTCATGCTAAATTTGAATCATTTTAATTAGTACCACAGAAGCACTACAGCGTCAGTGAATAGGAAGGAAGTATTGCAGAGTGCTTGTTTTTTTATCTTATATAAAGTTTCAGGGGTGTTTAGTATATGAAGGCAGATGGCATTTGTCTAAGAGGTTGAGAGCAAACCCATTAAAATATCATGCATATTATATATATCATCCATCTTCTATAGTCACTTGTCCTGTGCAGAGTCACAGGGGTTTGGAAACTGTGGGCACAAGGCTGGGAACAACCCAGGACAGGGCACCAACCCATAGAATTTGGCAACTCCAATTCAGCATAGCCTGTGTTTGGACTGTGGGGGAAAACCAGAGTACCCACAGGAAACCCCACGATGACACGGAGGAAGCATGCAAACTCCACTCACATGGAGCTGGGCTGAGAATCAGAAGTGTGAATCAACAACGCTAATAACTGCGTCACGCATGATCGCAATATAGCAGCATCAATACATAACATAACAAAGTCGGTGAATATGGGTGCATCCAGCATGGGTGTAAAGAGAAGAAGAGAAGCAGAGATCCTACCAGAGACAGTGGTTATGTAGCTGGCTGAGCTCTTCACTCTCCCATCCACAGTCAGCTGACACGTCCAATTCCTGTTGTGGTCTGACTGATCCAGAGTCACAGTCAGAGCAGACCGACACCTCTTCTGATGAATATGGTACCTGGTATCTCCGTTTAGCTCACTGCCATTCTCATGAAACCACGTAAATTTGATTTCTCTCTCTGTAATGTCTGTGCAGATATCATATCCATGCAGGGAGCAGGACAAAGTCACAGCTGTACCGACAGTAAACGGTTCCTGGTGAGGTGATGATGAGACTGTGAAAAGGAGAATATTACATCATCTAGGTCAGGGATACTCAAATGATCTACGTCTAACAGGAAGGTATTGGTTCAAACATAGAAACAGAAGTTATGAGCATATTTATGTCTCATTTTAATGATCATTGAACATGGATGGCAAATAGACTCACAGCTATAAACTTCCATTGAACATGTAGTCCAGCAGAAACTATTAATGGCTTAAACAACATAATGAGTCACTTTGTTTAACGTGTTGATGTCACTTATTCCTTTACAACAGCCTGTTCAGCTACAGAGTTTGTACAGAGATCAGTTGTGGGACAAGACTGTAAATCTGATTATTCCAGTGTCAATAAAGATTCTAAAGGCTTCCATTGCCTTGTTAAAATAATCTATTTAAGGTTAAACCTCTCCTTGTAATCCTTCTTTTAATACATTACCCTAATCAGTAATGTGCCATTATTTTATATAATTTATGGCTATTTTATCTCATATGACATGTAATTTGAGAAAGTGAAAAAAAAGAAATTATGGAACACGCTGCTCTATGTTATTTTTAAAGCAAGGGGAAAATATTGATCCTATTGTAGGAACACTTACTCTCAAGAATATTCAATAATAAATTTTGACGATTTTCATTTTTTAATACACCGATATACAATCCAGCATCTTCTCTTCTCAGCTTGTTAATCTGTAGAGAGCAGTCTGGCAACAGTTTCATTTTTCTATCTTGGCCTACATCTGTGATCCTCCCCTCATTGACTAGAAAGGTAGCCACACGTCCCGGATTTGGAGTACAAGTCCAGGTTACTCTGAAGTAGTCATCAGATGCCTCAAAGCTATATGGTAGAATGATGTCATTTCCCTCAGTGGCAAACATGGATTTTTCCTTTTCACCTGAGAGAAATAAAAGATTAGTTATTACACTGCAGATGTAATATTAATGTTATCACAGTGTTGGTGTTACTGTGTAATGCAAACACTGTGTGAGAACACAGAGTCAGATGGTCCTGCATCATAAATCTTCAGTGCCACCATGTCTTAGACCACTGATCATCACCTGGCGGCCCGCGGGCCAAATCCGGCCCGCTGAGCCGTTCAATCCGGCCCGCGACTGGATTCCAAAATTGTGAGGATCAAAAAGAAAATAGTGGTCCACACTATTAAAGCAACTAAAAATAACAACAACTGAGTCTCTTGTCAGAATAACCACCATTTATGACTATATTTAGGCTACACTCCGAAATGAGGACAGACTCAGACAGACTATGCGGATTAGATTTTTATTTGATTTTCTTCTTGGGGGTCCGGCCCCCAAGTAGACTGTCTGGTAAAACTCTGGCCCTCTGACAAATATAGTTGATGACCCCTGTCTTAGACTGTCACTTTTCCAGCAGGCTTCACCAGTGCTGATCCTGTGCTGTTGTCCTGCACTGTGTTTCATGTAAAAGATCAAGGGGGCGTGGCTACAAGTCCTGCTCACTTCTTCTCAGGCCTGTCTAATAAATACCAGCAAAGTTCCTTCACTGAATCTCAAGTCCTAAATTTAGCTCAAATTACTGAAGATGTTGAGACTTTGCTAAATCTTTCATCCACCCATTTTCCACGATAACTTATCCGGTACAGGCTGGAATCACAGGAAGCACAGGGCAGCAGGCGGGAGACCCTGGATGGGATACCAGCCCATCACAGGAAGCACAGGGCAGCAGGTGGGAGACCCTGGATGGGATACCAGCCCATCACAGGAAGCACAGGGCAGCAGGTGGGAGACCCTGGATGGGATACCAGCCCATCACAGGAAGCACAGGGCAGCAAGCGGGAGACCCTGGATGGGATACCAGCCCATCGCAAACATTTACATTTTAATGTAGTGAATAAATATTCACAAGATTTTCCATTTATTGAGGAGTTTTTGGGCCATTTAGTCAAGCTCTTAGGATCTTGTATGTTGACATCAGGCAGATGTTGTCATTTACTAGAACTGCTCTTGCATAACATTTTTAAGGGAAACGGCTTCATTTTACATTGTTATAAGTGGATTATTTACACATCTGAATAATTGTGCCGCAATTTGAAATACATTCACCAGTTAATGCAGATCACATCAGTCACTCAATGGACAACAATGGAAAATTTCAGCTTGATTAGAAACATCTGCAGTGAACATCATCGAAGCATATTTTTTGCCTTATTTTTTTTTTATTAAATTGCTTCACATAAGCACTGGAACTCAACGTTAGATCAAAGAAGGTTTAATGTCATTTTGCATTAATGATACGAGGTACAGTGTCTAAATGCTCACTGAAACCTGCAGGACTGAAAAAGCTGGAATGACCCTTGTCTGTCCTGTTTGATGACACAAAACGGCTCTGATCAGCAAAGGTGTATAGTTCAGGTCCAGAAAGTAAAAATCCAGGCCATGATTTTGTTTTAACCAACCAATTGCGTACAAAGAGTAACAGTCACAAAGTACTCAACTAGTTGGTTGAAACAAAATCCTGGTGTAGATTTTTACTTTCTGGAACTGGAACTTTCTGCTGATCTGTGGTTCAGGGATGTGACGGGAGCTCACAAGCGTGTCACTACCCCAGTCAGTGTTCACCGATCTGTAAATTGGCTCTGAGCCCATTTCCACTATTAGTATTACAAGGCTATTTTCTATTAAGAAGCAGACTGTTTTTCTTATTCTCTTATTCACAAGTTCTCCAACTTAGATAATTCAAAGCTTTCGAGTTGTTAAATAATAATAGAGACATTCTTTTGTTTACCTGGGCAAACGCTGAGGGTGTTGAGCAGTGTCCAGAGTACCAGTTTAGCGTGTCTGTTTGCTGCCATACTGTAGTTATGGTTAATGTGGCATCTCCAAGTGTTAAAGTTGTGTTTATACATTAGGAAATAGATGTCGTCAGTCATAGAACACATGAGTTATTTCCTGTATTTTAAAAAAAGCTGGTGGAAAATTACACAAGAGAAGTGATTGATGATAATCAGTTTACCTCACATGAAATATATCAAGGAGTTTAATGTGATGCATATAGAGAGAGGCTGAGGGAGAACTTATATTATAAGCAATAGATCACATCTGTAAGGTACCTGCATCATAGATTGGGTGCCTTTTAGCTTCCCAGCATGAGCTAAAAATGCAGATGATCATGCAGATCAATGCATCCCTTGCCCAGCAGGGGGAATTAACCAGTAACCAGCCCTGACTTTGGCTATGAAACCTCCACCTTTCCAGGGTACAGAGGAGCTGGTAGCTTGGGGTGCCACCCGTCTGTCCACCTCTTATGGCCTCACAGTGGGCACTACTACACTCTCCTTATCAAGACAACAGCAACATCATATCACATTACATAACACTATGAGATAAAATGCTGACTTGTGTAATTATAGTTGTGCAAAGCTCCTTACTTACAAATAGGAAGAGAAGTAAAATATCATATCAATATGATCAATTTTAAATGATGAAAACTGTCCAGAAAGGGTATTTGTCATCAGGATATTTATTCATAGCAAAAATGAATTGCAAGTGTTTTTAAGAAACAAGCTTGGTGTTTATTTAATATAGAATGCCTGCTAACTTAGTAATGTTACATTTGCAGAGGTTTAGTGCTTTTGGCTATAATGTTTACTGAACAAAACTATAAATGTAACACTTGTGACGATGCTCCCGTTTTGCAGCAGTCTTTTCCAAACAAATATCAGGGATGTTTAGGTTAAGTTGAAAATCATATTTCTTTTAAATGGAGCAAAGAAGTGGTTTACACTGCATTGCTATGTTTTGTTTTCAATTTTGTGGGAATACCATGAACTGCACAGGTAAGGAATCAATACACAGGTGTTCCATTTCCTGGGTATAATAAAACGCCACTGGAAAATGTGCAGTGTTTCTTGAGCAACACTTATATCCCAGATACCCAAAGCTGCACGGGAGTATGCCATTAGCATGCTGGATGCACAGATGTCCACCAGAGCCACTGCAAGAGTCATGCATGTCCATTTCCTGACAAAAGACGTGTCATGGGTAAGATGCTGGAGGACTGGCACAATTTTCCTGGGGAATTGGCTTTTTTGGGGGGCTACCATGCTGAAGCTTCTGAAATTTCAAAATAATTCATATTTTTGAAGATTTCAAACTTCAAACTGATTGATTTCAGGACATATTTTCAGCCGATTAAATGATTGAAAACAAAAAAATACAAAGTTCTTAAACATAAACAGATTTATACTTTTAATTACATGCCAGAAAAACAGTTGCTTGGAGTAACTGTATGTTATTATTGCTTGCAAACTTTTGATTAAAAGAGTGACTTGCAGAATTTGGTTTCCATGGAAGAAAATAATAATAATAGCCACTGCACTTCTACAACAACTAAAAGGAAAGTTATCAGTTAAATCAATCAAACATGATCTTAAATTCAACAGCAAACAGTCATGATTGGCCAGAAAGAATTAGGCAGGAGAAACATTTTAAAGTTTAACCTGTAGATAACTTTACCCGTGCCATGTAGCCGTGACAGAGAAATGTGCTAAAACGGCAAAACTTAAATTATTTTTTTTTGGCCAAAACATAAAGATGGATGCATGAGAAAACAAAGGGCTTCCTTTAATGTGGGAGAATGTGTGACACTCTCGTGAAATATGTGAGACTTCGAAGGTGTGCAACAATTAGACGCCTCTGATGCTACTTCAGAGATGTTTGGCAGTACATCCAACAGACCTCATGCCTGCAGACCACGTTACTACACCACCCCAAGACAGCTACATCAGACTTATTCACCTCTGGAATTGTCTGAGACCAGCCACACAGATGACGAAACGGTTTGTGCACAAACGGTCAAAAATCGTCTTACAGAAAGACAGCTGCATGCATGACAGCCTATTGGGATACTGACCTTAATGCAATCCAGCACTGTAACCAACTTAACTGGGCTAGGGTTCACCTCCAATAGCCACTGGCACACTGGAGAAGGGTCCTCTCTGCTGATGAATCTTAGTTTCAGTTCTACTGGCCAGATATTAGACAATGTGTATGGCGTTGCCTGGGTGAGCGTTTTGCATCTGGCATATCCTACGGACAACGAACCCAAATGCATTTCATCAATGGCAATTTGAACACACAAGGATTCCTTGATGAGATCAGGAGGCCCATTGTTGTAGCATTTATGCATTAGCATCACCCAGTCTTTCATCAGGACAATGCACAACCCCACGTTACAGGAATGCGTACATAATTACTGTCAGCCTGAAATGTCCCAGTTCTTCTATGGCCCTCATACTCACTAGACAAGTCACCCTTTGAACATTTTTTTGGATTTTGTGTTCCAGCTCCTACCAACACTGATCATCTATGCACAGCCATGGCAGAGTGGAACAACCTTTCATAAGCGACAATAGACAACCGAATCAACTCTGGTCACATCACTTCATTGGATTAGTAGATTGATTGTTTTGATAGATGTTTTTTTTTTGCTGTGGTGCTGAGGATTTTAGTGTGGTGGTACCTAACAGACCATGCGTTTGTGATTATGTTTATATTTTATTGATGAATACATATATTACATTGATATTACATGATAAAAACCTGTTATTCTGACACTGTGGGGATCATTTTTCAGGTCCCCACAAAGATCTGTGAATGCAATCAAAAAACTAAAAATACCAAAAGACTTGTATTTTGTTTGGTTATTTATGGTTAATGTTAGGACTGGGTAGGGCTTAAGGTCATCATGTTGGGATTAGTGTTTACCCCATAGAATTGAAGATATATTTATAAACCTGTGTGTGTGTGTGTGTGTGTGTGTGTCGCTGTCGTGTGTAAGGTGTTGCTGTCATTTCTGCTTTCAAGGTTGGAAGCTGGTAAAGGAGATGTGAGCAGTTCCTATATCGTGTCTTATGGGAAGATGGTTATTTTCTGATTATATGTTGTCACATTACTTGTGAAATATATGAAAACTCATGATCTATCACCAGAAATACCCACTACCTAATGCACAGAGACTATCGTAAAAGTATAGGAAAGACGCATTAACATCCAGGCTATATGGCTGTAAACAGAGAGATTCAACTTGTACTTTGGCTGCTGCTCAACACCCCTAACGTCTGCACAGGTAAGACAAAATGATGTTTGATAACTTTAATCTACTTAATAATGGAGAACTTGGCACAGGCTCCTGAGAGGCAGGAACTGACAATAAGTGAATGATGGCTTTATTCACACTTGTAGTACTAATGATAAGGGCACTGGGCTCACAGTGAAGGACTGACTGGACAGGGAGATGCATCATATATCATAGAATAAAAACCATTTCACTGTGTTACAAATTTCCTTCACTTGGTGTGGGTTGGGGACCCAATATATGTTGTCATGGGGTCCAAAATCTCCAGCAGCTCTTGTGCTGCTGACCGGTTGGGTGAACACTGACACTGACACTGAACACTGACTTCTCAACAAAAAATGTCCAACTTGAAGAAATAACTGAACAGCAAATGTGACACATTATAGAATAAAAACCTTTTTAGCGTGTCGACATTTTCCTTGACTATGACGAGATGATTACTCTGTACTGCAGATCGATGAACAGACTGGTGTAGTGACATGCTTGTGAGCTCCTGTTACCTCCCTAAATCACTGATCTGGGCTCTTTCCACTCATCAAACAGGACAGATAGGGGCCATTCGAGCTCTTTCAGCAGGTTACAGTCAGTGCTACCTTGCTCAAGGACCCACAGACATGCTGAGGCTGGATTTGAACCGGTGACCTTCTGATTACAGGCACACAGGCTTAGCCCGCTAATACTTAATATTCGTGCTGTAGGACACCTAGCTTTAAGCAAATTCATTTTAAAAAATGTGAAACAGGATGTTAAAAGCTGAAAAGAATATGTATATTTTAACAACGTAATGTCAAATCACAATAAGGTTTCAAAAAAGTTTCCGTATTTGGTATAAACCACAAGTACTTGTCAAGTGTTTAATTAGATGGGTTACAACAAACAAGATTTTGATAATCTATCCAAGAACCAAAGTGCACCTATGCATTTTAATAAGTGTCTAAAATGTTGTTTGCCGTGAAGTATTTTAAAACCCTCACCAGAGTACTCCAGCGATAAATACCAATCAGAACCACCTGGTAGCTCAAAACACGGGTCTTTATAAAGAGAGAAAAAATAACATAGGTTGTTTTTAACCTTTCTATCACCGTTTTTGTGCATTAGTGTTGTAACCTTTTTATCATCATTTTCTTACGAATGTATATGAAGAGCTCTTTTCCAAAACGTGATAAACGCCAATTTTTTAAAAAATGAGCTTGCCATGCCATTCTGATTTGTACTGAACCTATTCATTACTCCATCAATGTTTCATGCCAAATCGCTATATTTTCTTGTTTAAAATGTATTGCAAATTGCAGTTTTTCCCCAAACCGCAATAAGTATCTACTTACTTAAATGCGTCATCTCCTCTCGACCAATCAGTGTTCGGTCAGCGCTCTAAATTATCCAATATGGCAGCGCCCTGAAGAGAGGAGTTTTCTTGCTTGTGCCGTTTGTTTAAACACATATCATTTGAAAATGGATGTTTTATATACTTTTGATGGTTCTGAAGAACAGTTGAGAGCTACACCAGGTGGTAGATGACGTCGTTTAAACAAAGAGAACCATATAAGACAGGGGTATTCAACTAAAATTTAAAGAGGTCCAGTTAGAGAAAACTTCTTGAAGCAAAGGTCCGGAAGATTATAATGTCTAACTATTTAGTGTGA